GGAGGGAGTTGCTCAACGTTACCTCAGGCTCTGAGACAAAAAACTTTAAAGCTGCTGAGTTTTTGATTTAAAAAAATTCCGAGGTTTTCATCTGTTTTCATGATTCAAATGAGAACATTTTATGTAATTTACAATCAGTACAAGGTGACAACATTAGTGTGTTGAAAATTAACTTATCTTAGGATTTTCACAGTTTTATCTTGCCATTTCTCCAGCAATATTCTTGAACATGAAATCCGAGGCAGTGATTGGTCCATGTCGGGGGTTTTTCTAACGACTTCATCCAGGATCATCTTTGTGGCACAGCCAGGTGTCGCAAATCAGCTCTAAGACTGACACTTAAGAATTACTCCTACACTTTGCTTGAAGTAAGACTGAGATACTTGATAACTGACTTTTACTCTCAGCTTTTAACTAAGAATTGTTTTACACTTAAGTCCACTCAGCAGCATTCTTAAGAGTAATTCTAAGAAGTTTATAAATATGGGCCCTGATTTAGATTTTTCTCCTGATGACTGAAACCGAGCCAAAAGAAGACATACTAGAGGTGGATGGATTAAATTCCYGTGTTCCCATTAGGCACACCTGGATAGTCTGTATCATACAGATGTACATTTGTCTTTTCAATAAATTTTCCTTTGGTTACTCAACAGTCTGTTTGGATTTTCAGTCAACAGGACAGTAGAAATGATTTTGTGGGATAAGATTGGATTTTCTGCCCTCTAGTGATCAAATCCTGAAATCTGGGCCTTAAAAGCCTTAAACCTGCAGAAACAGCATCAGGAAGAACAGAACATGAAGTTTAACAAAGGATTCTGACTGTAAAACGATATGATAAGTGATAAGATGATAAGTTGTTAGTGTCACCAGCACTGATTCCCCCCAGATGCCCTCTCTGTCTGATCTGGAGGTTGAGTTCTGAGAGACGCAGCTGCTGGTTTCACGGCTGACGTCCAGCCGTTTGGACCGCTGCCCAAAATGCCCAGCGATGACAGAAAACATCGCTGAAGACTGACGCCATGCTGTCTTCTGCCACAACAAGAAACCGCAAAGAATGAAAGGCGTTAGAATCCTGCTGGTACCGTGACGTGTGGTGGTGGTGTCCTGCCGCCTGAAATACTGATGAAGTCATTTTCTGTTTTAATTTCCAGCAACAGTCCAACTCACCGAGTAAACTACAGTCACCCCAAATGACTGAGATACAAGCAAATAAACATTAAAGAATGTTTTGATCCAAACATCTGATCAATCTATAAAGTTCAATTCTGGCTTCTTCCAATAAGAGGTTTCAAGTAACAAAATACAAATACTCAGTAGTTAATTACCTTAAGAGGAAATGTTGGTTATTTATTGGAGTAATTAGTTTTCAGGCAACTTTTTACTTCTACTCCTCAAAAAATGCAAAAACAAAACACAACTGTTCAGACATACAGTGCCTTCCAGATAGACTGAATTTAATTGTGGTTGGTTGAGAAATGTAAATATGTATCATTCTGACACATATTTGTTTGATCCATCACATCTGCACGACATTATGTCACACTCCAGCAGGACATATCAGATGTATGTACTGTAGCTTAGTATGAAGGTGACTGTGGCAGAGATATACATGAAGCTTAAATAAACTAATGCATTCCAAAGTTTTCAATGTTAATATTGTAAAACAACATTATAGTCATGATTGCTTTTAGAAAAATGCTTTTTTTGGGGGGATGTAGAATTGTGGGCTTTGGACTCCTGTGGTGCTGCCTGAGCTTTTGCCCATAATGTTTGTATTTGCTTACATTACTTACTTACTTACCCTTATAACTGAAGGAGCTGATTTATCAAGACAGCAGATAACCATTACTAAATACCATGTGCAAATAAAAAAAAATAGTCATAAAATTGGGCGTGACGCGTGTGATTTGATATGACTGCGTGCACAAAC